GCATTAGGCAAGAGCTGGTCTATTGGCTGCCTGTTGTGAATTGTCCTGTCGCCTACACTTTTTGCATCTGTCTTCCATGATTGTTTCGATTTAGTTACATATATTGACCATATGTGTCTTCATATATGAGCAGAAAGGTACACTGGAGCTGACAGTCAACCTTAAAATCTACTTATGATTGTTTTAATAGTCCCTTAGAGAGATTAATTGATACTCTCTTGAAATGCTTGTTTCACATTGTCTTCTCACAAGAAAACTGTATTTTTTGGAAGCTGATTTACAATGCTACCTCCTCTTTCACAGACTGACTGCTGTGCAGAGGAGTTTAGTCTGTCTAAATTTCCAGAGTTCACAGCTCCACTCTAGTGAATGTGTATATGTGGCAAGTTACAAAAAAAATCTAAAGGAACTGCAGATGTCTGATTTGTGGAGCTGAATATCTTCTTATTAACTAGTTCATATGTAACACTGAAGACTTGTGTAGTCAGTAAACTTCTGTATGGTTCTGAATAAAGCCAAATGAATCCTGGCTTTTATGTTGGAGAATGCAGCCTTTTTTTCCAAGGCCAGACTTAGAAGCTGTAAGTCTTAGACTGCTCTGAATTGAGAAACTGTTTCTCAGAAACTCATGGGCTTGGGTTTTGGGATTTTTTTTGTTGGGTTTTTTTATGTAAGAAAAGTTACTTCTTGAAAATGGGGAAAGAGGGATTCTTGTTGCTATGGGGTTAATGAGTTCTTGCCCTTTAAACAGTGACAAACATGGGTTGTGGCTGATTTGTGATGTCCCAGTGCAGCTTTGCAGTACTTTTGCTTGGTGGGATTGTTCAAATACTGCATCCAGCAAAGGAAAAACAAAATAGCATCAGGATCTTTAAAAGGACTTGTGTACTGACTCTAGACTGACAGCCCACATGGAGGCCCAAAAGGTATATGGCAGAAAGTGTAGTAAGAGAAAGATGCTACTGAGGAGAAATGGCTAACCAAACCAGTGCCAGAAAGCTGAATTTCAGTCCCTTGAACACTGTTAGATCTCCTTGTAATCAGGCACTAACTACCTTTAGGTCTGAAAGCATGCTCAGGACCTAACTGATCTAGTTCCTCTGCAAATAATAGGCCTTATTGTGACATATGACCACCTAATTTCTGAGATTAATTGAACTCCTTTGATATTAAAATATCGTGGAGAGATTATAGATAGTACAAGGCAAGGTCAGTCTAGTTCAGCATCCTGACTCTGATAGTGAGCAACAGTGCACGTCAGGGAAAGAGGAGCACAGGGCAAGGGTAGTGGTATTTCTCCAGAACAAACTCCCAACCTCCTGGCAGATAGAGCCTAAAGATATGCTCTACAGATAGAGCCTGCCTATGGAGATATATAGATACAGGGGTTATTTGGGCTAAGAAATTATCAGAACTGACCCTTTGTCATGCAACCTCACTTGTGACAAATTAGCACTTTAAAAACATCTGAAAATTTCTGACTGGCTCTAATAATGATTAATGAAGATTTGGCAAGAAGAGATGAAAAGGGAGAAAGAAAAAGACTTGCTCCACATGCTGCTTGCTATCATAAAAGGCAGCAGAGGATTGCAAGAATGATATTCTCTTTTAAAGTAATGGTATGTTGAATGTGGAACTCTGAAGGCAATATTAATTGAGGGTAGATGGGTTAAGGACAGGCAGAAGAGACCAAGAACATGGTTCAGTGATGGTTAGACATAGGGTAAAGCATGAGAAGAAGAGCCACAAAGGGACGGACAAGGCTGTAAGAGAATGGAACAGGGAAAGATAAATGCCTGGGTTCTCCTGCAACACTGACAGTGTATGGAAAGGTTCAAAACCGAGGTGGGATGGACTCTTGAGACCGTTCAGTCCCCTCCTGAAAGCCTGCTCTTCTTTTTGTTACCCCTTTGTGACTGCTCTTGGCAAACTGGAGGAGGAGAGAGATTTGTAAGGACTAAGGGTGCATAATGGGAAGAACATTAAAGATGAGGAGATCAACTACTTAAAGTCTAAAGAAGTGAGGGAAACCAGAGCAAGGGATCTGTTGAAGAGTCAAGTCCCAGAAGGAGGATCCCAAATTACATTTGAGAGGGGAGACTGGTTTGGAGAGAAGAACAGTTTAGGTTAGAAAGCAAGACAGTTAGGAAGAAAATGTTATCTGATGGTAAAAAGTGCATAGGATTGCATCTGTTATATATGGGGAGATGTCACTTCTAATGAAAATGAAAGGGAAAATTTTTTTAATATATTTTGAGACGAAAGAAAAGACAATTTTAATGGAGGAGTACTTGTGGTTATCAGCAATGATGTTTTGTTTTTCATGTGGCCATCATCATACAAGTAGCAGCTTTGCAAATTAAAGTTTAATATGCTTTCTTCTAGAACTTTCTCGTTTCAGGAGTTCGCATTACCAAACACTCATTTTTGACATGGCTGGCATCTATTTATCTGCATGGTCTATGAAAAGCAGAGTTGAAGCATCTACTTACTATCTGAATTAAGACAGGGTAGAGCAATTAGCAGAGCATATCCCTCTAACTCATTTATCCCCTTCAAAGTATGAATAAGGAAAAGGCAAACTCCTGAAAAACAGGATTCAAAGAGGACAGGGGAGTATCTTAGAATTTTTTTCCCAGGCACAGATATGTAAGAAATATGTATTTAACTTAAACATAATTTTTTTTTATACTGAGAGGCAGTCATTAAGGTTACACACCTATTTCAGTTATATGTGTATTTTATTAGCTTTATGATTATTTGCAACTATTTACTTACAATTTATTATTTACAGTTGAATCACCTGACATCTGAAAATCAACCGAAATTTCTCACTTCTGTAATAATAGGTAACATAACTGTAGTCTGAAAACACAGTCCTGCTACTCTTGTTTGGTAGTTAATTAAGTGTGTGGTTAGATAATAAGCATTAGCTGTACTATGATGGTATGAATGAATCTCCTTTAAAAATAATATGTTTAGCCTTCTAAGTGGTTTAATAAATAGATAGCTGTAGTAACTTAAAAAAAAAAGGTTAGTAGTGCTAAATTTCTGGGGGGCAGGGGGAGGAATATGATTTTTACTTTATATACTTGTGCCTTTATAAACAGGCTTGAATGCTTTAGGATAAGAAATCTCTCCATGTGCCTCAAAGCTGTTAGCTGTTTTGTTTCTCCATGGTAACAGGAGTATAAAGCAGTATGAGCGTGTTACTAAAGTAGGGAGACATGACATTGTTTAGAAATGGGATTATATGTTAGGACTGCAGCTCTGGAGTGATTCTGAATTAGGCATTTTCTTATACACAGGTGCTGTGAATGTGTGCAGAGGTGCTAATTAAAGGCAAGGCTTAGGGATCCAAAGCTGGCCTAAAACAGTCTATCAGTCTGTAAAGTTTGCAGACAGGTCGATTAAGCTCTCCCAGAAACATGGCTGAACATGTGAAGAGGCCTATGCCAGATCAAGGTCCAAATGTAGGGCTCCATCTGAGGTTCAGATATAATAGGCAGATGACATCTAAATTAATACAGAGCTATCTGTAAGTTTTAGTCAGTAATCTTGCAATATTAACTAGGCGATCTCTGTTTACTTTTGTTGCCACCTTGGCAGAAGAGTATATATCAAGAATTCCTCAGCAGACTAGCTAAGAGAGTTCTTTCATGAAGAAATGAACAAAGGTAATGGTTTATAGTAGAGCAGTTTCCTCACACGCTGACCTCTCCCTTGCACTGATGCACTCTTACCCTTTTCTTCTTCCCCTGTTGAGATGACTCTGACCTACTGGACTGAGATAAAATCTACTAACTTGCATTTATAGTAAGGGAAAGGTTCTGGCAACCTTTTTCTCATCTGTACATATTGCATCTTGTCCTGTCTCTGTTCCAACAAGCTGTTCTGTAGTGCTGGCTTGAGCTAACCTTGCTGACTGAGTCGTGTTTCCTCCCAATAGACGTAGCCTGACTGAGGACAGAGCAGTGTGTGCCTGTATGTGCTTGGTAGAGCCCTTTCCTTGTGCAGCTAAAACAGCGTGACTTCCTTGTTTCTCCTCCCTTCCTCTCGGGGCAGGTAAAAGTAATTTGTTCTAATTCAGGAGGCCACGCCATCTGCACCAACACAAGACAACTTCGTGCCAAACACACCTTCCCTTCTGTTGCGCCTCATACCGATGGTTTGACTTGCTTTCCTTTTCCTGCAAGGGAAAATTAGTTTTTTATTCCTGCTCCCTAAGGAAGCTGAGTCGTAGATCAGTTCTGCCTTCGTGTTCATGCAAAATTCTCTCCGCTGTTCGTTCTGACCGAATTGGAAAAATCCAAAATTCAACCGCTGTACAACTTGGGTAGCTGGGGAGAGCCCCCACTTAATACTGTGCAGAGAGGGGTGGGGGAAAGGAGGGAAAGCTGAGCGGTTTTGGTTGGTGGGTGGGCTCTGTGCCGAGCCCCAGTTGAGGCACTCGAGAACCTTTGTTATCGCAGGACTCTGCTTTAGGATCAGCCCTGCGCCTGCTTCCTCCCGGTGCTGCGGGGACGCGGATTGCTCGCTCCGTTCCTGCCCTTACATAACCGCGTTAGCAGGGCTGTGCCAGGGGAACTATTTCGGGCGGCAGTGCCCCTCTTCGAAGCCTTTACGCAATAAACCGTGCGGGACTAGGCCCGAGAGGGGCGCCGGGGACCGAGGGGAAGCAGGGCAGAGCGCTGCGAGGCTGCGGCTCGAACGCGGGGGCATTTCGGTCGGGCCGTGGCCTCATGTCAGCGAGCGGGAGCTGGCGCGGGGATGGCTCCCAGCCCCGAGCGGGGTCAGTGTGCCGGAGCTGCGTGTCGGTGAATCCGCTGCCGGCCAGAAATACGCCAGAAGGGCGGAGGGCCCCGCTGCGCTCGGCCGGGCATTTACGGTAACAGGGTGGTTACGGTAGCGCGGGAGGGCCTACGTGCGCGGGGGCGGGGCGGGGCGGCGCGCGCGCGGCGGCGGTGCGTGCGCGGCCCCGCGAGGCGCGTCTCCCTCGCGAGCTCGCGGTGAAAGGATTTGGCGCCAGGCGGGTCCCGCTCCGCAGCTCCCGCAGCCGCCGCAGCCGCACAGGCCCCCCGCGCCTCCCGCCCGCTCCCACCGCCCGCCGGGGCACCCGTACACCGCAGGCACAGCCAGAGTCGCCCGCCCGTCCCTGACCGCCGCCGCCCGCGCGCCGCCCAGGGACCGAGCCGCCAGCGCCGCCGCCATGAGCTGCTCGCCCGTGAACGTGAAGAAGCTGAAGGTGTCGGAGCTGAAGGAGGAGCTGAAAAAGCGGCGCCTCTCCGACAAGGGCCTCAAGGCCGAGCTCATGGAGCGGCTCCAGGCCGCGCTTGACCAGGAGGAGGCCGGCGGGGGCGGCCCCGCCAGCGGCGCGGCCGAGCCCGGCAACGGCAGCGTGGAGGGGGAGGCGGCCGAGAGCGGCGGGGGCGCCGCGCAGCTCCGCCAGGGGGGAGGCCCTGGCCAGGCCGCGGCCTCCGCCATGGAGGACGACGACGAGGAAGGGCTGGAGGCCGCTGATGGCGACGCCATGGAGCTGGGCGAAGAGAACGGCGAGCGGGCGGGGGCCGGGGGCGGCCCCATGGAGGAGGAGGCGGGCGGCGAGGAGGAGGAAGAGGAGGAGGAGGAGGATGAGAACGGCGACGACCAGGGATTCCAGGAGGGGGAGGACGAGCTGGCCGACGAGGAGGAGGCCGTGGCCGGAGACGCCAACGGGCACGGCGACCAGCAGCCGCCGCAGTCCCAGCAGCCGCAGCAGCCCCCACCGCTCCTCCCGCCGCGCGGCGCCGCCGCCGCCAAGGAGGCCCCGGGCAAGAGCGCCGGGGGCGCCTCGGGGCCCGCCGCGGCCGCCGCCTCCGGCCCGGCGGGCCCCGCCAAGCAACAGCAGCAGCAGCAGAAGAAAGCGGAAGGCGGCAGCGGCCGCCCTGGGGCTCAGGGCGCCGGGGGTGAGTGAGCGCGGTGGGGACGGGGGGG